CAGCCTGCGTGGCTCTCCTGCTGCTGCTGGAGCCGCACGCCCTCCCCATCGGGTCACCGCTCGCCCTCACCGGCTAGGGGGGGCCCTGGCTTCCCAGAGAAGCGGCTGCGCAGCCAGCGTTCTCCCCGCACAGCTGGTACTTTCCTTAGAGACCCGAGAACCGGTGGGGGGCACGCGCACTGAGAACCATCACTTCTGGTACCAACGTACTGGGTGTCTGACCAACTGGGGGGGCAGCTAAAGAGGCTGCACGAAGTCCACAAACATCCTCTTTAAGAACCGAAGGGCTGAGGAGACCATGTGGAGGCACCGGGAAAAGGCGGCAACAGGCAAGAAGGCGGGGGAGGCACAGGTGAAAGGCCACCAGTGAGACAGCAACGTGAGGCACGTGACAGAAACGGGACCACAAAGCTCAGCGAGCAGTGGGCACGGCAACGGCTGCGACCCCGGAGCGAGGGCGGCACCAGCACCTCAGTTGTCAGGAGGCCCCGCTCAGCCCGGAGGACGGAGGACGTGCTGGGATGTGCTGTGTGCGGACTCAGCTCCATGGCCTCTAACGCAGCCGCGGGCAAACTACGGCCCGCGGGCCGGATCCGGCCGTTTGAAATGAATAAAACTAAAAAAAAAAAGACCGTACCCTTTTATGTAATGATGTTTACTTTGAATTTATATTAGTTCACTCAAACACTCCATCCATGCTTTTGTTCCGGCCCTCCGGTCCAGTTTAAGAACCCATTGTGGCCCTCGAGTCAAAAAGTTTGCCCACCCCTGCTCTAAAGGCTACTGAAGAGGAACTATTGCTCTACCCGACCTCTGTCCCTGGCCGGAGCCCGCACGCCGAGCAGGAGCAGAGCCCTCGGCTGCGGCCGGCCCGCGGAAGTCCGGGTGAGCAGCCTGTGACGCCGGCGCCCGCGGTGGCCAGCGCTGCTGCTACAGAAAGTCGTTCGTCCAAACTCAGAGCAGAGCGGCCTGTCCTTGAGGGCGGGTGCTAGGAAGGCCCTTCACCTTCACGTTACAAGTTATGCTCTGGTTAGATTTTTGTCTTAATATACTTATTTTTCTTAAACTATAATTCTTAAATAAGTTTCTAATTAATAGTAAGATAACATTATTAGTCTTCCAAAGAACAGACTATTTAGAACAGGGGTGGGCAAACTTTTTGACTCGAGGGCCACAATGGGTTCTTAAACTGGACCGGAGGAAAACATGGATGGAGTGTTTGTGTGAACTAATATAAATTCAAAGTAAACATCATTACATAAAAGGGTACGGTCTTTTTTTTTTTTTTTTAGTTTTATTCATTTCAAATGGGCCCGCGGGCCATAGTTTGCCCACGGCTGATTTAGAACCTATATTCAAAAGAGAAAAATGATCACTTTAGCCCCCCAAATCCCAAATCAGCAAGCAGCATGAACTCTACTGACCAAAAGGCTACAGCACACATTGTGCAGGTGACGGATCAGAGAATTGTACACTGAAACCTACATAATTTTATTAACCATCATCCCAAAAAAGTCAATTAAAAAAAAAAGAAGTAACGTTTAGCGAGTGAACAGCTCATACTTCCCATTTTGCAACAGTGAACGATGCCGGTTACCTGGCCCGCGGGCTGGGTGGTCACTGCCATGCATGTCAAACTCCTGTGCTTCGAGCTGTCGGTACTTGTTGATATACTCCAGTTCCCCGCTCTTCTGGCTCAGTGACCTGCAAAGAGTATCAGAACTTAGTACACTGTTTCCAAAAAGCCAAGGCGTCACCCTGCGCCGAAGGCCTGAACACTCTTCACTAAGTCACAGAAGAAATGCAAATGGTCCATAAATAAATAAAAGAAGCCGTAGCCGGTGTGGCTCAGTGAACAGAGCGTCGGCCTGCAGACCAAAGGGTTCCGGGTTTGATTCTGGTCAAGGGCATGTACCTTGGTTGCAGGCTCCTCCCTGGCCCAAGCCCAGGCCCTGGTTGGGGCTCATGCAGGAGGCAACCAATCAATGTGTTTCTCTTACACTGTTGTTTCTCTCTCTTTCCCTTTCTTCCACTCCCCTTAAAAATCAATGGTAAAATATCCTCAGTGAAGATTAACAACAACAACAAAAAAAGTAAAAATACACTCAAGTTCGTAGTCATTTTCCAAGCAGATGCAAATTGAAGTGATGCGAAACCATTCCTTCATCCTTCAAACTGGCAAATAAATAAATTCTTAGATTACAGGGAGGGTGGTAGATCGGTCTGGCATTTCCTCTGAAGGCAGGCCGCCTGCCGTGTCCATTAGAGCCCACAGCTCTGCAGCCAACACCTGTCCCCGCCACGTCTTCTGCAGAGCACGTGGGGGCAGCAGGCGCGGGCAAGGCGGCGCAGACGCCTCGGGCATTCAGCGAGTGCTGCCCGTCGCCAGCACACGGGAGGCAGTCTCAGACCCAGAGGCACAGCAGCGACAGCCAAGCCTGGCCCTGGAGCGTCATCCCAGGGAAGAGACATCCAGACCTGCAGGACCCTCATTTGTGACAGGCAGGGCCTAAGGGTCCCGGGAGGCAGGGTGCCTTCTCATCAGACTTGTGAGAGTTAAAACCTGGGGGGAAAGGCCCCACAGAGGGCCACGCTCACCTACGGCCTCTTACTTAACCTGTTTCCTTTTTTAAAGAATGCCAACGGAGGCTATACCCACACTAATAGATAGACACAAGGTCCCAAACAGCCTGGCTGGTGTGGCTCAGTTGGTTGAGCGGTGTCCTGTGCACCAAAAGGCCGCTGGCTTGATTCCCAGTCAGGGCACACGCCTGGGTGTGGGTTCAATTGCTGCCTGGGCATACTGGACACAGCCATTCAATGTTCCTCTCTCCCTCTCCCCTCTCTCTAAAATCAGGTTTTTTTAAATGTCCAAATCGTTCAGTGAGAAAAGACACTTGCACTGTGACATGCAAACCACCCGCGACACTTGGGGCTCCTGGGAGGGTCCACCTGGAAGGCGCTGCTGTCAGAAGGATGGTGATGCCAGCACTGAAGTGTGCAGTCACTTGAATACAATGGATTCGCATTAAAGGCACCACTTGTCTGATACACCGGCCCCACCAGCGTTCTTTTGATCACAGTTTCCCTGCTATCTACTCCTAGTCCCTCAGCACAGCGTCACTCAGAGCCTGGCGGCTGCAGTCGGCTGGGTAGGGAAGGACCATGGGGAGTGTGGCAGCGGTGACAGGTTCCCAGGGAGAACGCAGCAGAGAGGAGAGGGGCAATGCTAATAGGACAAGGAGACATTTAGGCAAAGATCAGAAGAAAAATGAGAAGGGCCGTGCAGGTCTGCTTGCGGGCACAGCCAAGGTGGCCCAGAGGGGCGGCGAGGGTCAGGCCTGGCTGGGACAAAGCGTGCTCTGGGCAGAGCCAGAGGGGCCAGGTGGGGGGACGCGGGAAGCCTGCAGAGCCCTGAGCAGAAACCCTGTGCTGGTTCCGCAGCCAGCATGCTCCAGGTGGCCTGCACCATGTCCGAGGCAGCATGAATCCCGGCCATCAGAGGCGGACACCCAGGGAAGCAGCAGCAGAGGCCGCAGGGCACTGTCCCCGAGCGCTGGCCACCACTGCACTGGCAACCTCCCGGCTGCAGCTGATGGCGCCGTCAGCCCTGTGAGCAGCTGGCACTGTAGAGGCCACACCTTGGCCTCTCTCACCACGACACGCAGGGCTAACATGAACCAGTCTATTCTTCACAGGTCATTTGGAGGAAAAGGCCAGAGAGAAAGATTGTGAAATGTCATCCAAGGCGAAGCCGCCGCGCTGTCATCTAACACAGGCCTGGGGAGGGGACCCCGCCTGCGCCCTGGCCCTCAGCACCCGCCAGACAGGCGGTGGTCGCTAAAGTGAGTCATATGTCCTCACAGGTCCATTTTCCCGGCCTTAATCCATTCCTGCCTCAGCACCGTGCTTCCAGAGATCGCATGCACGTCAGTAATCCGCTTGCATACACATGGCCTCCACTCACTGTGACCCGCCTGCACACCCTCCTATTCAGAAAGAAACGAGTAGAGTCACGGCTACGACCCAGCGCGCCCTGACCCAGCACGCTCTGCCCCTTTTACTTGGTTATGGGACTTGCTCAGAGCGGGTGCTTCGCAAACAGTCCAGCCTGGTCCACTTTCCCTGCTGTCACCACAGAGGATGGGGACCTGCTCCCAATGCCTGGGAGCGAAGCTGAAGAAGCAAAGCAACAAGGTTATTTTTGGAGCTCCAGAGGCACGAACTGCAGCTCCACTGTGACCCGCAGCGCGCAGCAGGCAGCGGCAGGCGACAGCCCCACGTCCTGGGGGCACATCTGCTGGCTCGGCGTCCACATCCCTCCCTGACCCACGTCTGAACGCATCGAGGGCCAGCCCCGGGGCCGCCGGCATCTTTTCAGATGACTGAGCTGCATTCAAAAGGCAGCCTTATGTAAGTGGTGCAGCTTCGGTAGTAAGTTATTTTTGTCGTTTCTTCCGCTTGCTTACAAGGTGAATTAATGAGCGCTCTCCACGGGAAGACTTCACAACCTCGTTCCTAACATAGAAAGTTATTTATTTCAAGTGCAGCCCCAGTGGTGAGCGCGGAGGCGCCTTCCGCAGGCACAGCAGGAGCAGCGGAGGGGCCGAGCGAGACGGCCGGAGTCAGCACCCACAGCGGACCGCAGCCCCAGGTACGCTCTGACCCCTGTCTGTCCAAGCCGTGTCAAGCATGTTTCCGGAGCACTGGGCTGTGTGCTAATATTTAAAGTGTCCTAAGAACTTTTAAGAGCAAGTGTTCAGTGTGACTGTCAGAAAATGCTCAGCCTGCAGGTTCTCTCTCACTTTGTGTATTTCCTTTCTGCTTAGCTACACAAAGTATTTTTAAAGCTTGGCTCAGGGCACCGACCTAGTTAGGAATTAAAAGACTTTAATCACGTTTCGATCTTACTTTGTATATCTAACCAGTGGAAAATTCATCCACTTTTCTGGGAAATGTATTATGAAGAGACAAATATTTGCTCATCAGAACCGTGACACTGTATGCAAATAAACGAGCGGGGACACTCCCACAGGCCAGATGCCACTCTTCGGCTGGATGAGGTGGCCCAAGCACAACCCCTGCCAAGCGGCGCGCCGCCCGGGCTCCAAGGCCGTGGCCAGGACGCTCCTGCGGGAGCTGCAGTGGCACCTGCAGGAGCGAGAGAGGTTCATACAAGAGGTGGGCCATGAGCACCCCGGGGCGCGGGCGGGTGTGGAGTACACCTGGCTGAGAACCTACCAGAACCCCCACACGACCATCCCCGCTACTGAACAGAGGCAGCTGGAAGCTCTCTGTGCGCAAGTTCAGCCCTGCCAGGCGGGAGCCATTCTCAGCAGGTAACAGCCCCCACTTCCTCCTGATGCCCGTACCGTGAGTCTCAGCACTCACGCATCCAGGCGGGCAAGGGCCCTCCATCAGCAACCGAACACCTCTGAGAACTACCTGTCACTACCTTACCGGCTAGACATGTTTTCCGTCACTGAGATCCCTGTTCTAGACGCCTAAACTAAGCCGCGTGCAGACCCACAGGTGGGCGCCGCCACGCGGCCACGGGACAGGCTGCGTGTGGGAGGCGGGGGTGGACAGGGAACGCCTGACCCACGTGTGCGTCACTGCTTGCCTCTAGGTTTCGAGAAGTTCTGGCAGAAAATGATGTGCTGCCCTGGGAAATTGTCCACGTCTTCAAGCGAGTTCTGGAGGACGCCCTGGGTAGCCCTGAGAAAGGCGGGCAGCCGGGCCTGGCGGGGGGGGGCCTGGGGGACCGCGCCCGGAGTCCAGACCAGGATGAGATTCCCACTGTTTCCAGTTACGTGGACCGACACGCGGAGAACAGGCTCCCCACATCCTCGCGCAGGACGTGGAACCTGCCGTACGGCCCCCCGCCCAGCTAGGCTGCTGGTGGCCAGCGGCGCTGCAGGACCACGGCGCGCGGAGCCTCACATGCGGAATAAGGGGACGTGCCCCACGTCTCTCTGTCGCGAGGTCCGAGTTAAAAATCGCTGTGGCGCGTCAGGTTTTAGACAGTGTTCCCTCTGAACCCCTCCACAGTGCAATGTTTCTTAACAACTAAAATGTTTCCTAAATATTTTGAAAAAAACATTTGAAGTATTTTCTTATACCGCAAAACGTCTCGCAGGAACTAGGGCGTCTACCAGTGTGCAGTCGGAAATTTGACAAATTCTGTGTGAAACCCCGACATCAACCTGGACTTTGATTCTAAGACAAAGCTACACACAGAGCAAAATAAATGAGTGGCGTGAATCCTCTCTCCCGTGACTGTGTTGCCAGGGCATCCTCTCAGAGGGGAGACCCTCGGGGCAGCAGTGAGGGCAGCAGTGAGGGCAGCGAGGGCAGCAGTGAGGGCAGCGAGAGGCAGGAGTGAGGGCAGCAGTGAGGGCAGCGAGGGGCAGGAGTGAGGGCAGCAAGGGCAGCAGTGAGGGCAGCAAGGGCAGCAGTGAGGGCAGCGAGGGGCAGGAGTGAGGGCAGCGAGGACAGCAGTGAGGGCAGCGAGGACAGCAGTGAGGGCAGCAGTGAGGGCAGCGAGGGCAGCAGTGAGGGCAGCAGTGAGGGCAGTGAGGGGCAGCAGTGAGGGCAGCAGTGAGGGCAGCAGTGAGGGCAGCGAGGGGCAGCAGTGAGGGCAGCGAGGGGCAGCAGTGAGGGCAGCGAGGACAGCAGTGAGGGCAGCAGTGAGGGCAGCGAGGGCAGCAGTGAGGGCAGCAGTGAGGGCAGCGAGGGGCAGCAGTGAGGGCAGCAGTGAGGACAGTGAGGGCAGCAGTGAGGGCAGCGAGAGGCAGGAGTGAGGGCAGCAAGGGCAGCAGTGAGGGTAGCGAGGGGCAGGAGTGAGGGCAGCGAGGGGCAGGAGTGAGGGCAGCAAGGGGCAGGAGTGAGGGCAGCAAGGGCAGCAGTGAGGGCAGCGAGGGGCAGGAGTGAGGGCAGCGAGGGGCAGGAGTGAGGGCAGCGAGGGGCAGGAGTGAGGGCAGCGAGGGCAGCAGTGAGGGCAGCGAGGGGCAGGAGTGAGGGCAGCGAGGGCAGCAGTGAAGGCAGCGAGGGCAGCAGTGAGGGCAGCAAGGGGCAGCAGTGAGGGCAGCAGTGAGGGCAGCGAGGGGCAGCAGTGAGGGCAGCAGTGAAGGCAGCGAGGGCAGCAGTGAGGGCAGCGAGGGGCAGCAGTGAGGGCAGCAGTGAGGGCAGCGAGGGGCAGCAGTGAGGGCAGTGAGGGCAGCAGTGAGGGCAGCGAGGGGCAGCAGTGAGGGCAGCAGTGAGGGCAGTGAGGGGCAGCAGTGAGGGCAGCAGTGAGGGCAGCGAGGGGCAGCAGTGAAGGCAGGAAGGGCAGCAGTGAGGGCAGCGAGGGGCAGCAGTGAGGGCAGCAGTGAGGGCAGCGAGGGGCAGCAGTGAGGGCAGCAATGAGGGCAGCGAGGGCAGCAGCGAGGGCAGCAGTGAGGGCAGCGAGGGGCAGCAGTGAGGGCAGCGAGGGGCAGGAGTGAGGGCAGCAGTGAGGGCAGCGAGGGCAGCAGTGAGGGCAGCGAGGGGCAGCAGTGAGGGCAGCGAGGGGCAGCAGTGAGGGCAGCAGTGAGGGCAGCAGTGAGGGCAGCAGTGAGGACAGCGAGGGGCAGCAGTGAGGGCAGCAGTGAGGGCAGCAGTGAGGGCAGCGAGGGCAGCAGTGAGGGCAGCGAGGGGCAGGAGTGAGGGCAGCAAGGGCAGCAGTGAGGGCAGCAGTGAGGGCAGCAGTGAGGGCAGCGAGGGCAGCAGTGAGGGCAGCAGTGAGGGCAGCAGTGAGGACAGCGAGGGGCAGCAGTGAGGGCACCAGTGAGGGCAGCAGTGAGGGCAGCAGTGAGGGCAGCGAGGGGCAGCAGTGAGGGCACCAGTGAGGGCAGCAGTGAGGGCAGCGAGGACAGCAGTGAGGGCAGCGAGGGGCACCAGTGAGGACAGCGAGGGGCAGGAGTGAGGGCAGCGAGGGCAGCAGTGAGGGCAGCGAGGACAGCAGTGAGGGCAGCAAGGGCAGCAGTGAGGGCAGCAGTGAGGGCAGCGAGGGGCAGCAGTGAGGGTAGCGAGGGGCAGGAGTGAGGGCAGCAGTGAGGGCAGCGAGGGGCACCAGTGAGGACAGCGAGGGGCAGGAGTGAGGGCAGCGAGGGCAGCAGTGAGGGCAGCAGCGAGGGCAGCAGTGAGGGCAGCGTGAAGACGAAGCTTCATCCTGACACTCACTCCATTTTTAATCTCAGCACAATTAAGGGAAAGTATAAAATCACAGCTATGTGTCAGATCAGGAAAGAGATGGCCTGCATTAACATTGATAGCTGCTACTCTCAAAGGAAACAATGCTGACGTGTACTTTACACCAATATCATGTTCATTTAAAATAGCAACATATTTAATATCTAATTTAAAAATTTCATAATTTCACTAAAGTAGGAAATTATTCATTAGTCATTTATTTTTATGATCAAATGCTAGACTTTACCATTCCTGTTTGTTAATCCTCACCCGAGGATATTTTTTGAACTGCATTTGAGAGAGAGAGTGGGAGGGGGAGACAGAGAGAAAGAAACGTGAATGTGAGAGACACATCAGCTGGTTGCCTCCCACACAGGAGAGCAAGCCTGCAAGGAGGCACGTGCCCTTGACCAGAATCGAACCCAGGGCCCTTCAGTCGGCAGGCGATGCTCTAGCCACTGAGCCAAACGGGCTAGGGCTAGCCTTTCCCATTCTTAAAGGTAAGTCCAAGGAACCTAATGTCTATAATTTTATATTTGGAGATTTGTGGGGGTTATTTTTCATCTAACAAGTAAGAAAAAAGAACAGAACATACACGCCAAAGCCCGCGCCGGGCCTGGCCTCCCAGCACAGCCCGGGCCGGCCTCCCGCGGCCCCGATCCCAGCCGCGCAATAAACAGGGGCAAGCCGACCAGGGTTCGATGGACGGGCCCCTGAGAAGCCCGGAGAGGCCGACACTAAGGAGCCGCTCGCTGCTGTGCCCTGCTCCTCCGCGTCCAGGAGGCACCGCCCAGGGCGCTCCCATCGAGAGGCTTCTCGCAGGAACTCCCTGTGCAGAGACCCCGGACGCAGCCCCCAGTGCCCGCGTCCACGCGTGGAGGCACTGAGCAGGGACTGGCTCCGTGGGCCGGCGCCCCAAAGGCTCGCTTCCTGCGCTGCCGTCACCACTGACAGGCCTGCCTGGCTCTATACCGCCCGCAGGCCCTGCGTGCTTCAGAGAGGGAAGGCGAGGCAACCCGCAGGGGCGAGTCTAGGAAGCCACTGTGCCAACGGGCCCAGCTGATGGCTAGCATGTTTAGTGAAGGTATGTCCACAGGTTCAAACACACTGTACTGCATGCGTACAGGCCACAGCATGGTGTGAGCGTGGCTTTTACAAGCTCTGGGAACCCACGTTCACGTGACTCCCTTCACTGTGACACTCGCTGGTTGCGTGGTCTGGGACCGAACCTGCAGGATCTCTGAGGTGTGCCTGTGCCACAACTTCAGCTTAAAACCCAGCCCTGTGGGACCGCAGGTCTGTAAGCCGGAAACGCCGGGAAACGCACTGGGTCCCCTGCGGAGGGTCCCACAGGCCAGCATCAAGGTGCTCACAGGGCTGCGTCCCCATTGGAGCCTCATTCATGCGGCCAAACTCAGTGCCTTGAAGTTGTAGGTCTGAGGCCCCCTTTCCTTGCTGGGGGGCATCAGCTGGGACCAGCCCGGGCCCTGCACGCCCACAGCCCACAGCCCTTCTCGTGCTTCCCTGAGGCCTCATCTAACGAGACCAGGCCAGTCCCTCTCCCGCCTAAAATCCCCGACCCGTCAGAGGTCTCTGCTTTGAAGGGTGCATGCGACTAGATAACCCTGGTAGGCTCCCTCCTCTAGGCTCTGAACCCTCGAGTGCGTCTGCGAAGTCCCTCTGCCGTGTCACCCGGCACAGGCTCCAGGCACAGCTCTGGGACCATCACCTCCCAGGACTTCCTCCTGGAAGCGGAGCAACAAGCCACTCTCCCCCCAACCTTTGTCTCATCTACAGTCGGAGCCACCCCCCACCCACACACACACACCTACACACACACAGCCCCCAACACACACACACACACACACACACACACACACATACACAGCCCCAACACACACACACACACAGCCCTCCCCCACACACACACACATACACACACACCCCTCCACACACACACACACACAGCCCCCAACACACACACACATACACACACACACACACACACACACATCCACACACACCCCTCCACACACACACACACAGCCCCAACACACACACACATACACACACACACACACATACACAGCCCCAACACACACATACACACACACCCCTCCACACACACACACACTCGCACACACACAGCTGTGTGGAGGGCTAACAGGGCTCCACGGTGCTTCCCTGTGCCCACCACGCGCGGGCCTGGCATGAGATGTGCGCGTGTGCAGGCCAGGACGCTCCTGTCAGGAGGCGGATGGAGACAGACGATGGTGACACTGTTTGCCTGCACCCGTCACTCTCCTGGCAATTTCACAGTAATGTCAGACACTGATTGTAATGATTTTTAGAATGGGACTTACGTTTTGTCTTTTCATTTATTTTACAAAAGTCTCAGTCCATAAAGGACTGGAAATTTAAAAAACTGATCCTTAGTAGCTATAGGGACACTTAAGTCTACACTATCATTTCTGACAAGGGTAATAATTTACTTCCAGTATCACACCACGACGAGTTATTTAAAGGCAATGCTGTCTGTCCTCCACGTCTAGGGAGCAGGCTGGGGGTGGGGGGTGGGGTCAGTAAGGAGGGCAGCCTGCGGTCACTCAGCGGGGGAAGCCCAGGGAACAAAGGCACAAGCACGCGGGCACAGGGTCTCCGCCCTCCTGCCGCCAGGAGACATCCCCCGAGGCCCCCGGTGCACCTGGGCCTGCACAGGCTGGGCCACCATGAGAGCCTGGCCCACAGGTCAGACAGAACAACAGACAAGGTCAACTTAAAATACAAACAAAACCACTCTGCGGACTGTAAAGGGCCTTGAACTGGGGGGAGGGGCCCAGCAGGGGCTAGAGGTGCCTCCAGGGCCTTGAGAGAGAGGGGTGTCCTACTCACCAGGTCTGGCCCCTAAAAACAGCAGGCGTCCCCTGCCTGTGCCACCAAAACCACATGCCCAGACAGCAGCTGCTTACG